TGGGTTTTTGGACTCTGTTCGTGTTTCCTATGGACTGTTTCCACCACCTGGCACCCACCGTTCTCCTCTCCTGACTTTGCCTGTGATGCTGTGCCCTTCTGTGCTATACACTGTTTGTCCCCTTACTTGCAGGGGGGGACTTTGTACGGCTCTTAAAGAGCAATGCTGTTTTTACCTAGATAAGACTGGTACTGTAAAAGATAACATAAAGATCTTGAGGGAGGGGCTGGAGTGGCACAAAAGGGAAAGGGATCAACAGGATAGTTGGTATAAAAATTGGTTTTCCACATCACCTTGGGTTTCAACCCTCTTGCCCAGCATATTGGGGCCCCTCCTAGCCATCCTGGCTGTAATATCCTTCGGCCCCTGGGCCTTCAAAAGGATCACAACCTTCATTAAGAGTCAGATTAATGATCTGGCAGCTAAACCTATTCAAGTGCATTATCACAGGCTGGAGCTCGAGGATCGAGACGACCCCTTTGAGCCTGCCAGGCCTTATGACAACGTGATCAGTTGTCTCCTTGAGAGCTGAACTGGTCAGCCAAAGACGGGTAAGAGAGACCTTTACTGATAAGCAACCTAAGACAGGCAGGCAGCCGACACAGCTGCCCTAGCCCATGATGGGTGAGCATCAGATAAAAAGTTCTCCAACCTAAGACAGGTGTGGTTCCCTAAGGGATCATTCGGCCTTGGCCCCATGCTCTTGTTTATAATAAAAAAGGGGGACCTGTAAGGAGCCATGGGCCCCCTACCCAGAAACAGTAACTATTGTCTGTGAAGCAAGCTGTTTACAGCTTCAGCCTCTGACTTCCTTTTAAGAGTAGTCTGATGACTTTGTGAAAAACATGTTTTTCTGCCTCAACCTTGTAAATTTCCTCATCCTGTAAAAACATCCTGCCTCGTGGTCTGGCTGTGGAATGTGTGGTAAACAGCAGAAGGTTCCCGCCCAGCTTCTTCCGCCCTCTGCTTCCCTATAAAAGCTTGGAGTAAAGGTTAAAACTACAGATTTATTTCATTTCTTTGATTTTCTAAAGGACCCTCTTGCCCCATTCAATCCCCACTCCTCACTCCAGGTACCCCGTTGAAAGTCCCGCAGGCCGGGACAGAATGTTACACGTAATTATCATAATTCAAAATTATTTATTGTGCTAGATTCAGATATGAAATTTGAAAGAGGAATTAGGGACTGAAAGGACAACTCAAGACAAGGTAGAAAGAGAGAGAGCTGAGCTTGCCCAAGACCTAGAAGAGTTGAATGAGAGCCTGGAGATAACTAAGCAACAGGAAGAAAGATGTCAAAAGCTTTGCTATGATGTGGAGGAAGCCACACTGCACTTTGAAGCAACTTCTGACTCTTTGAAAAAGAGACATACAGATAGGCTGGCTGAGCTTGAAGGCCAGGTAGAAAGTTTACAACAGGTCAAGCAGGCACTAGAACAAGACAAGACTGACCTGCAGCTACAAGTGGATGACCATCTGACCCATGTGGATTAGATGACCAGAGCCAAGGTCGATACTTGGAAGCCTTCCTTATAGACTTCTGAACATGGAAGTAGTGTGGGGGGTTAATAGAAGGTATAATTTAAAATAAGGATAGCCTATATAGTCATATGTTTATTCAGTTTCCTAATAGTTTGCATCAATTGGTACATCTAATCAATTAATCTTTAATACCTTTGTTATCACTGCATCATATGACAGATGTTTACGAATTTAAGTATTGAGATTTTGTTTCATTTTAAATTGCACCTGCACAGACAATTTCAGTTCAAACCCCATACCTGACACTTACTAGCATTGTGAATTTGGGCAAGATATTAAACCTCTCTGAGGCTGTTTTCTCATTTATAAAATGAAACCAGTCTCAACTTCTGAGGGATATTGTGAAGAAGAAGCAAATGTGACAACTGGGACTATCAAAATCACCTTTAGCCATGCAAGCAAATGTATTAAAATTTAAAATATTATTTACAATAACAGATGAATTGCAATGGTTTCTATTATTACTGTTGTAACTGTTTTCAATATGTGGATTCTTATACATGTTTTCATTACCTGGCATTTAACATTAATGTTATAGTCACCATGATGCTCATGGTATTGTATGAGAATCCAGTCATTGACTCTCCCAGGTTTGGCTTCAAAACCATCAAGAACCCCACATGTTTTGTGAGCATATATAGCTGGAATTGTGGCACTTTCTTTGTCAGCCTTCAAACAGGCATGTGTCCAAACTGTTTCTTCATTTCTTTGCCAATCTGTGGGTAATGTCCTGTGCAAGTAATATCTGTGAGCTGGAGTTTATGAGAAAAGTTTGAGCGTGATTTCAGTCTATACATAGGCCAACCTCTTATTAAAATCTGGAATAGTTTCAATATTTTAGGCATTTATTAAGTGCCTATTGTATGTTAGATACTCATTAAAGATGGGACTTTTAGAATACTCATTAGTGTAAACAAGCTTAATGAGAGCAATCTTCAACATAACATGGGCTCTGCCTGGAGGTGTCCAAAGTTTTTGTTGGTCCAAGTGTTTTCCATAGGATACTCTGGCATTACCTTTAAATAGACCTAGTCTGTGACTACTGGTATTTTATAGTAATTAGGTTAACACAGACTGTTAGGCTTACCAACAGCTTTCACTTTTTCACCTGTTTCGGTTCTCAGTTTTCTCAGGTTCTGGAGTGTGTAATCTCTTGTCTCTTTAGTCTTTAATTTCTACAATATTTACTCTTTTTAGAGACAAGGTATGTGAGTGTGGCATAAATTTAGATTTAACACATATAAAGAGCCTTAAAAAGAGCTGAGTATGAAATAGTACCTAAATACTAACTTTTGCTAGAATTATTACTATTATTGCCATCAATAGAGAAGATAGAAGACATTAAAAATTATTTATAGATTGTTTCACAAAAACCTCTATGTAAAAATCTATAGAACTACAGAAGCCCATCTGTGTAAATATCCTGATCATATCTGACACCCCATTGATAATTGATTTGACATTCTTTCTTCTCTTGAAGAGTAAAGAATTCTAGAGCAACACCTAAAATCCAGGGAGTTGGATTTCATCACTGACACCTCTAGTCTGAGAAGCTTAGAACTCTTATGGATGTTATACTTAGAATTTGTTGCACTTGCTTAAAGTATAATATGCATTTTCTTGATGTTGCCTATGGTCTTTACTCCAGAAGAACTTAGACAATCCCAGAGCCTCATATCATCACCCTCCCTTTGTAGGTAACTCAGTATGAACTAACTCACTCCATCATGATCAACCTTTTTTTTTTTTTTTTTGCAACTCACAGGGTAATGCTGAGAAACTCTGTAGTTTGTATGAAAGATGCTTGAATGAATCAAACACAAAACTGGATGAGGTGACTCAGTTGGCCAATGACCTGAAAGCACAGAAAGCAAAGCTACATAGAGTGGTGAGTAGATATGTTTCCTTTACTGTGAATAATCCTTTACCTCAGGAGACTCATGGAGGCACATTTGAGAGTACACACAGACTTAGAGAACTTGAAGATTCTAGGAGAGTAAAATAGCCTGACAGTTATCTTGCTGATCTGTTCAACCTTCTGACATTGTGGCATGACATTGTCATCTACCAAGTTCATGCCTGAGAGCTGTACAATTGAGTTACAAAAAGAATTACCAAAAAATTTCATAAAATTTTATTTAAGTAAGCTTGCCATTTTGTGTTGGGAAGCATTCATATCTATCCCGAAGTGTCTGGGTTGGACTTGCCTGGATGACATGCTTCTTTTCTGGCAAAGGTCTGCTCTCTGTTGCTTTGGGAGGCCTTGCCAATAAGAAAACTGATGTGGAACTGGCAGAGTAAATCTGAAGATCAAAGGACGTAGGGGCTGTCCACACTATATAAGGATAGAATTCTTGTATGACTTCTGCCTCACTGAATAATTTTAAATCATGAACCTATGTTATTTTTATACTCAGTAAAAGCCATGTGGTATAATAGCCAATGCAGGCCTATATGATTAGGTCCCCATCATCTCTCTGGCATTTTCTGCCAGTTGGTTCTCTCATTTCACCTTAGCAACACTGACTTCTTTAATGTGCTTTAAACACACCAGACAAGCTCGTAACCTAGAGTGGCTGTCTAGCTGTTTCCTCTGCCTGAAATACTTTATTTATTTCAGGAAGACTTGGAGATGAATTAAGCCAGCGGCTATGAGGCAGCTGTCAAAGCACTCCTTTAGAGAACAAGGGATTTGAGCACTGTTAACCCACTTCCTCAATAATACTGTTGTGATTCTTTTTCCATAGTATTTGTTACCTTCACTCAGACTTCCTACTTGCAATGCTTGTTTCCATCTGCTGGAATATGAGTTCCACAAGGGCATGGGTCTGTTTTTTTCAATGAACACTGTCTGGCACTTATTGGTGCCTATAAATACTTGATGAATATTAAATCTAGGTAAGTGTCCAGTGGTTATCACAACCAACTACTATTTAATATTTTAAAATTTGTAATTTTTTATATTGTAGTAATCTTTTGGGAAATAAAATATTATTACATTTTGTACCTTTTTATACTCATTATTTATAATGATTGCTTATAGTCTGTCAAATAGATTGGCTGTAGTTTACTTAGCCATGTCTTGAACTTGTTTATCTACTGTGATTAGATGGAGTAGATATCTGTCTATGATTAAAAACACTTTCAGTAATATATTTTCAGGGACAAATTTTGTGGTAAATGAAAAGACACAGTACATTCTTAATGCTCAGAGGTAGATAATTTTGAGTATTGAGTGAAGATCATAGGCTTCATGACATCATTCTGTAATGTGTATCTTTTTGCATTCTAATAGACTGTTAAAATTTTAGAAACCAAGAGGTATCTGAAACTAAAGTTTTTATTGAGATTTTGTAATTATTGAGTGAAGATCATAGGCTTCATGACATCATTCTGTAATGTGTGTCTTTTTGCATTCTAATAGACTGTTAAAATTTTAGAAACCAAGAGATATCTGAAACTAAAGTTTTTTATTGAGATTTTGTAGATAACAACCAAAAATCAAAGGATATGGGTTCTGGGACAAATTCGCTATACCACTAACAACATGGCCAGATCATGACTGCGGAAATGTCTACTAGACCTAAGAAGCCAGGGTACTGTATCATGAAATCTATGAAGGAAAAGGCATTGCATTGGAGGCAAAGGCCTGCATTTGCCTACTCCTACTTACAGTGGTTATAGAGAAGAGGGAGAAGCCAACAGAAGAGGTAAAGTCCTGGGGTTTGAGGACAGTCTATGACAGGAGCTGCTTGGTACTTCTTGATTGGTTCTATAAAACTAAAGATCAGTGTCTTAATGACTAATCTTCAATATACAGTGAGGGAGAGTAAAACATTTTCATTTTCTACTTTTTTTTGTTGGCTTAGCCTGAACCTGTCAGTTAAACAAAATTCTTTATCAAAGGTCAGAGCTAAAATAAAATGAGTTGGCAAAATTAAAAATCTAGAAGAGAGCATTTCCATTTCTTGGAAGGACACTATATAGGATCCTTTCCTATTGCCAACAGGGTGTGTGATGGTTGGCCTTGATACACATCAGTCATCAGTGTACTGACTCCACATTCCAGAAGTATATGAGTATGTCTTGCCTAAAGGAACTTTTATATAAAAGTTGTTTGAATAGCCTTGGCAGCTTCCCCTTAGTGACCAGCATTAACACTGTAATCATGTTTAATGAGGAAGTCTGTGGGTAAGTTAGTGAAGTTACAATGGTTGTGAGAGGACCCTTGTGTTTAGGGTGCAGGACCTTTTCCTTCCTTTTTCTTAATGCCAATCTTTGCCTTTTGGTTTCTGCATAATTTAAAGTGTATACTCTTCTATGCCTACTCCCCCCACCCCTGAGTTCATGGTCCAGATTTTCTGTCAACACTACATGTTTCTTTCTCATGCAATGTCCTATGAGCTTCTAATGTCTGCTTTCAGAGGAGGCCTATACTACGTATAGTTAATGAAGCTATCAGTCAACAGTCTTCTGTGATATAAATCATTTGGTAGTCTCAACCTTCTAATAGATTGAATTTTTAGAAATCCTTTTAAATAAGATGCTTCACCCAGAGATTCTTGAAGTTTGGTCTATGGGATCTCTAGTGATCTTTAAGAGTCTTTGCCAGGGAATCTATAACATTAAAGCTATTTCAGTATAACACATATCCCCTTTAATTCTTTTTCCATATGTATTGATCATGTGCAAGCAACAACCATTAAAAACGTTGCAGGCTCATCACAAATTCAGCCAGCAGCACTACTTGCACTAGTAAGCATATTCACTAATATACATGCAGTTTTAAAAGTTTCACTTAAGAATGGCTTTAATGAAGTAGAAAAAATTATTTTATTGCACCTCACCTCTAAGTACATGTCTTTAATATTCTGTGTGATACAGCGTGAAATATGCATAAAGAACATCTGTTTCAGGCTGAAGTAAAGTAATTGACTGTCTCAAGTTCTAGCCTATGCTAGTGTCTTCCAAACATTTTTTTGAGACATGATCTCTCTGTGTAGTTCAAGCTGGTTCTGAACTTGAGGTTCCCCTGCTTCAACTTTTCGAGTGCTAAGGATTTCAAGTTTGTGCCCTCTTGTTGTGAGTGGTTTTTTCAGGGAGTATCATCTTAACTTGAACAAACAATTGAGAATCAAACTATGCTTATTCAGGTCTCTACATTTGGTAGATATTTTCTCAAAATTTAACAAAGTAAGCTTGTCATTTCAAGCTTTTAATCAAAATAGTAATTTAGAAAATATGTATATGCCACCATGAGCTAGAAGGCTTTCCATGCTTCAAGACTTCCCTGATGAGATCAGTAGTGATGTTAACAAATTTGATTTTTTATATTGTGTGGGATTTTAGAATTCATTACACATGTTTTTATGTATGTATGTAGATATATTCATTCTTTCATTTTTAAAAAAAATTTTAAAATTTAATAACCACATAATTAGAAGAAGCATTTCATTACAACTTTAACATATTCAGTAACACATTCCAGAGTAAGGACACATCTCTTTCAAAGGTGGCTGTAAATTTTTAGGTTCACAATTTAATTAATACAGTCATACAATATTGAACTCAGTATAAACCCTGTAAGACATAAAATTGAATAAGTTTTTACCCTTTAAAGAAGATCTCCATTTCATTTTAAGATATGTTGTTTCCTATATTTTTAATGCTGCTAACACTTGCATGTTTGAACATGTGTCTTTAATTTCTATGTATCTTATTATTACTAGTCACAGTTGGTTACACTTCAATTCTTAGTACCTGAGTATGGATATAAAGTCATCAGGTAGATTTCACTGGTAATGTTTATCACCTCTACTATTAAACTTGAAGTAAAATTTTTTAAATCTTTAAAATTATTTATTTAATAACCACATATTTAAAAGAAGCATTTCATTATAACAGCATTGACAAATGTAATAACAATTTCAAGAGGTAAGATGCATCTCTTTCAAAATTGGCTGTAAATTTTTAGATTTACAGTTGAATTATTACAGTTATACAATATTGCACTCAGTATAAACCCTATAAGATATAAAATTAAATGAGGTTAGAAACTTTAAAAAAGATCTCCATTTCATTATTAAAATGCACAGTTTCATACAGAAAAATTCACTTCTAATCACTATTTTTAAAAAATTTTTAATAACTACATGATTAGAAGAGATTAGAAGAAGCATTTCACTACAGCTTTAATATATTCAGTAACACACTACAGGGAAAGTACATCTCTTTCACAAGTGGCTGTAAGTTTCTAGGTTCTAGTTGAATTAATACGGTTATACAATATTGAACTCAGTATAAGCCCTGTAAGACATAAAATTTAATGAGTTTTTAACCTTTAAAAAAGATCTCCATTTCATTTTAGAATATATTGTTCCTGGCAGAAAGACTCATTGTTTTTGCTACTAACACTGGGATGTTGGCACATGCATCACTAATCTGTATGTATCTGATTATTATTAGTCATAATTGGTGGCACTTGGATCCTTGGCGCCTGTGTATGTCTATAAAGTCATCGGGTAGATTTCACTGGTAATGTTTATCACCTCTACTAATTAACATGACATAAACTTCCATGCTTCCTCCTCCATTACAACACATTTTTAAAAATTTGACTTTTTTTGTGTATATCACACTGAACATCTCAAACCATCTTATTCAACTATACACCCACTTCCTAGATGGCACCCTCCCATAGCCTCTGTCCCAAAACTAGAGCCCTTATACTCTGATATCCCTGCTACTGTCTGCTGTGTTGTCGGCACCCCCCAGCCATTCCCCACTACTTTCCCTTCTAGTAAATTTAGTCACCCTATCTAGAGGTCTTTGTTTTAGGAGGGTCAACTGTTCCTCATCTAGCAGCAATCAGTTGTCAATATTCCTTTA